TAGAATCTATGAATAAGTTTAAAATAAATTTCCTTAATTTTATTGGTAATTAAATATTTATTAGGGAGAAGCCAGACCTTCTTCCAAGTCACATCATCCACAAACTGACTCCAGTATGAGATCACACAAGGTATAGTTGTAATATCTCTTTGAAACAGACTTCGTAAAGCCCTTTTGTTATTACGAGAATCAATGGAAAAGCATATCTTACCCACAGAAGTATGCACCAAAGATATATAGGGTAGATGTTGGGCAACCCTAATTCTCTGCTGAGATTTAAATAGCATATTAAGACCAGAAGGTATTGCACCAAAGATTTTTGCATAATCCCCTGGAGGAATAGGAATTTTATATTCTGATAAGAACTCCTGATACGTGAAGAGAAGACCATCCTTATTAAATAGCTGATCCACCAATACAATACTATTATCAAACCACTGCTTCATAAAGAGAGATTTATGCTTATACAAAATGTCCTTGTTATTCCATATATAATAATTGTGAGGAGAAAAATTATGTTTGTAGATGAGAGACAAAGACAAAAAAGCCTGGCGATGAAATGCAGACATTTTAACAGGAATTTTATCTATATCGTAATTGCAGACAAGAAAAAAATGCAAGCCACCTAACTGAGATAGAATATGAAAAGGTATAACATTCCAAATGGAGGTAGGATGTTGAAAAAAATTCTTTAGCCAATTAATCTTAAAAGTATTATTTAAAGTACAAAAATCAAGAAAATTAAGACCCCCATTTTCATAAGAATTCATAAGAACACTCTTCTTTAAATAATGGATCCTATTTTTCCACAAGAAGTTGAAAAGCATTTTATCAATCTCTTTTAACATCTTACCATCAAGATGTAGAGCCAAAGCTGCATAAGTCAACCGAGAAATTCCTTCTGCTTTTGTAAGCAATACTCTACCTCTCAATGATAAGTCTCTTGAGAGCCATTGGTTTAATTTTCTTTGAGTTTTTTGTATAATAGGATTGAAATTTAGAAGTGAACGACTTTGTTGGTCCTTAGCAATTAAAATCCCTAAATAACGGACTTCATTTTTTACTGGAATGTTATAAATGTCAGATCTAGAGCATTCCTTAATGGCCAAAACTTCGCACTTATTTACATTCAAACATAAGCCAGAAGCCTTAGAGAACTCCCTGACTACTTCAATGACAACAGGAATTTGGTTTTCATCTTTCAAGAATAAAGCAGTGTCATCTGCCAGCTGTGTCATGATCAGCTCTCTGCCAAAAAGGTTAAGACCTTGCACAGAGCTAGATTTAATATGGTTCGCCATGAGCTGGGCCACTAAAAGAAAGAGGTACGGAGACAGAGGACAACCCTGCCTAATACCTCTAAACAGATTAAATCTAGGAGATGTCCCCCCCGTTAGTTTAATAGAGCTATTACCATTTTTATAAAGAGTTTTAACAGCCGTACAGAAATAACTACCAAAACCAAACTTTTGTAAGGATTGCAAAATAAATTGATGCTCTACAGTATCAAACGCTTTGTAAAAATCTAAAAACAAGATGAATCCATTATCATTCACTAAATCTGAGTAATCCAAAATGTCCAAAACTAGTCTGATATTATTTGTAATATGTCTGTTTGCCATAAAACCTGACTGGGTTTCTTCAATAACTGAGTTTAATACTAACTTAAGTCTTTTAGCCAATAGCATGGCAAATATCTTATAATCATTATTCAGCAAACAAATTGGACGCCAATTATCAATCAGTAGTGTATCTTTGTTAGGTTTGGGAATTAATGTAGTCACCCTTTGAGTCATAGTGGCAGGAAGACACTCTTTTTCTATACTCTCTTTAAAGGTTGCAAATAAAAAGGGAGCCAGATCATCAACAAAAGCCTTATAAAATTCTGCAGTCAAGCCATCAGTACCTGGCGACTTGTTGTTCTTAAGAATATTCACGGCAATCTTAATTTCCTCAAGGGTAATGGGATTATCACATAACTCCATTTCACTCCTGTCAATAGAATTAACCATCAGAGAGTCCAAAAATGAATTAGCTGAAGTTTGACACAACTTAGAGCTATACAAATTTTGATAAAAATTAGTACAATAACCTGATATTATTTTAAAATCCTCGACAACAACCCCATTAATATTCAATCTATTAATACTATTATTATTGGCATGGTGTTTTTCTAGATTAAAAAAATAGTGTGAATTTTGTTCCCCTTCTTCAAGCCATTTTGCTCTAGATCTGACAAATGCACCTTTTGCTTTTTGGCTGTATAACTCATCTAATTTGATTTGCAGATAAGCTAGCTCTGACTTTTCCTCTTCTAACAAAGTAGCAGGGTTTTTATGAGATAAACAAGTTATCCTTGTTACTATCCCTGCCTCCTCAGCCCTATTAGAAATGGCCTTCTGCCTGCCAAATTTTCTAAGGAATTTGCCAACTTCAAATTTTAAGAGTTCCCAATTAGTGCGAAACAGTTGTTCTTCTTCAGCTTTGGACCAAAAGTATGAGATCAGATCTTTAACCTTTTCTTTAACTTCATTATTACATATTAAAGAGCTATTAAGTTTCCAATACCCTACGTGAAAAGAACCAATTTTAGAAGTAGAAAGGTTCATCTTAATGTGTATAACTTTATGATCTGTTAGAGGCGTAGGACATATATCTGCAACAACAGCATCTTTGTTAAAACTTTCAGAGACCAACCAAAAATCTATCCTTGACTGTCTAGAGCCTGTTTTGTTGCTCCAAGTAAACAATCTATCACTAGGATGTTTTACTCTCCAAATATCTACGAGATTGAATTTATCCATAAAGACCTTAAGATTAGAATTAGTTCTGTTATGCTGACCAGGAGGCCATTTATCCAAATTGACATCCAGAATATCATTAAAATCCCCTCCTAACAGTAAGGTGGCATTTGGAAATTTATTTATCCAGCGTAACAATATATTTTCTAAAGGTAAAATAAGATACCTATTTTCCATGTGTGTATTATAACCATAAACATTGCACACTATGAAAATAAAATCACCATGTTTAATTACCTGGCAAATAAAGTGTCCATCTGAATCACATTCTGTGAGTAAGACATCTCCATTAAACCTGTACTTTAAGGTAGACACCCCAGCTGAGCGTTCAGTGCCATGAGACNCCATTATCATTCACTAAATCTGAGTAATCCAAAATGTCCAAAACTAGTCTGATATTATTTGTAATATGTCTGTTTGCCATAAAACCTGACTGGGTTTCTTCAATAACTGAGTTTAATACTAACTTAAGTCTTTTAGCCAATAGCATGGCAAATATCTTATAATCATTATTCAGCAAACAAATTGGACGCCAATTATCAATCAGTAGTGTATCTTTGTTAGGTTTGGGAATTAATGTAGTCACCCTTTGAGTCATAGTGGCAGGAAGACACTCTTTTTCTATACTCTCTTTAAAGGTTGCAAATAAAAAGGGAGCCAGATCATCAACAAAAGCCTTATAAAATTCTGCAGTCAAGCCATCAGTACCTGGCGACTTGTTGTTCTTAAGAATATTCACGGCAATCTTAATTTCCTCAAGGGTAATGGGATTATCACATAACTCCATTTCACTCCTGTCAATAGAATTAACCATCAGAGAGTCCAAAAATGAATTAGCTGAAGTTTGACACAACTTAGAGCTATACAAATTTTGATAAAAATTAGTACAATAACCTGATATTATTTTAAAATCCTCGACAACAACCCCATTAATATTCAATCTATTAATACTATTATTATTGGCATGGTGTTTTTCTAGATTAAAAAAATAGTGTGAATTTTGTTCCCCTTCTTCAAGCCATTTTGCTCTAGATCTGACAAATGCACCTTTTGCTTTTTGGCTGTATAACTCATCTAATTTGATTTGCAGATAAGCTAGCTCTGACTTTTCCTCTTCTAACAAAGTAGCAGGGTTTTTATGAGATAAACAAGTTATCCTTGTTACTATCCCTGCCTCCTCAGCCCTATTAGAAATGGCCTTCTGCCTGCCAAATTTTCTAAGGAATTTGCCAACTTCAAATTTTAAGAGTTCCCAATTAGTGCTAAACAGTTGTTCTTCTTCAGCTTTGGACCAAAAGTATGAGATCAGATCTTTAACCTTTTCTTTAACTTCATCATTACATATTAAAGAGCTATTAAGTTTCCAATACCCTACGTGAAAAGAACCAATTTTAGAAGTAGAAAGGTTCATCTTAATGTGTATAACTTTATGATCTGTTAGAGGCGTAGGACATATATCTGCAACAACAGCATCTTTGTTAAAACTTTCAGAGACCAACCAAAAATCTATCCTTGACTGTCTAGAACCTGTTTTGTTGCTCCAAGTAAACAATCTATCACTAGGATGTTTTACTCTCCAAATATCTACGAGATTGAATTTATCCATAAAGACCTTAAGATTAGAATTAGTTCTATTATGCTGACCAGGAGGCCATTTATCCAAATTGACATCCAGAATATCATTAAAATCCCCTCCTAACAGTAAGGTGGCATTTGGAAATTTATTTATCCAGCGTAACAATATATTTTCTAAAGGTAAAATAAGATACCTATTTTCCATGTGTGTATTATAACCATAAACATTGCACACTATGAAAATAAAATCACCATGTTTAATTACCTGGCAAATAAAGTGTCCATCTGAATCACATTCTGTGAGTAAGACATCTCCATTAAACCTGTACTTTAAGGTAGACACCCCAGCTGAGCGTTCAGTGCCATGAGACAGCCATATGGAGTTACCCCACTGAGTCCTCCAAAAATTGACATCATTTAGGACAGAATGAGATTCTTGTAAAAAGACAAAATCTGATCTAAACTGCTTGGCAAAAAGGAATAAAGCTTTACGTTTAACATTATTACGCAACCCCCTAGCGTTAAATGATACAAAAGAAAAAGTAGACAGATTGACACAAACAGTGAAAAATGAACAAGTAACAACTGTCTTATAATTACTTTGAGATAAACAAACTCAGAAATAGCACCGAGATCAGCACCATAAAATATTTGTAACAAAAACTAAGCCAAATTCTAAAAAGTTGGCTAAATTTTGGTCCATTAAACATTTATTACCTTTAAACATTTTCACTTTAACCATTAGACACTATCAATGCTACATAAAAACTAAACGACAAAACGACAAAAGGCAAAAATTGTATGCTTCCCAAAATACATACAGAACGTCCAGTGAACCATCGATACGAGTGAAGATCAAACCCGTGACCTCATCGACCACTTGCAGTAACTTCTTGCCGTGGATGGATTTCAGTACCATTTATGAAGCCTCTACCTCCCACAAAGTATGCCGATTTCCCCATCTCACGTGCGTTCTTAATCATAGGCCACAGTCTATGCCTGCTTTCTTGGTCTTCTTTTGACAAGTCCTCGGTAAAACGCAGCCCTTTTTTCTTAAGGAAAACGCTATTTTTAGCAGCTTTCCAAACTGCATCCCTGTGCTGCCGGGAGATGAACCTGAGGAAGATGGCGCGAGGTTTTGGATTGTCTCGGTGCGGTTTCCCCACACGATAAGCAACATCTACAGCGTCCGATATCCTGTCCTTCTCAGAGTGTAAAACCTCTTGACATATACCAACCGCCTGCGCACGAACATCCTCCTTTTCAACTTCTGAGACGCCATGAAGCCTCAGATTCCACCGCCGACCATAACTCTCCAAGACAGACACACGATTCATACACTGTATCAGAGTTCCCTCACTCCTCTCTACTCTTTTTTCAATGCAAATGATCTTGTCATTTATGTCTTTTATCTGGTCACGGACAGATTCCACCATTTTCTCAATCGCGTCACTCCGAGAATTAATAAGGTTGGCCAAGGTACGAACTGCATCATCAGATATTGAAGCATTATCATGATGAACCTGAGCAATGGTAGGCTTTTTAGCGACCGGTGGCTTGCTTGGGGTCACAGGCAATAAAGGAAACTCTTCCTCAAAAGCCGCCTGCTCGCTGCATCCCATCTCCTTGTCGTAGTCGTGGTCGCTAGACGAAATGCTAGCAACTCCTTTGCTCGGCTCACTTGGTCGCTTTTGAACAGATTTACGCATTTCTTCTTTTATTCCTAAACCTGTCAGAACAATATTATGTGTCTAAACCAACTTAAAGACAAATACTGAAAAATAGCTTACAAAACGCATTTAGTGCCGAGAGCTCGATAACTTTCCAACCAATCACACCGCCATCTTGCGCCTCCTTCCTTGTACAATCAATCGCACACTACCTTTTCGCAGCAGTCGCGTCATGTGACGTCACCCGGTTCCACGGCTAATTTGGTCCGTCGGGTAAAACTGATNATTTAGTGCCGAGAGCTCGATAACTTTCCAACCAATCACACCGCCATCTTGCGCCTCCTCCCACAAGGGCAACTCGGGCAACAAAATCTTACGACTTCAACGTCATAAAAGGGGCGTGTTTCCGACGGGAAGTGATGTTTTTCGTGACGTATCGTGACGTTTTCATCCGAGTTCCGACTTGGAGAGAAATAATCGAACGCACCATGTTCAGTATAGTCCAGGGGTGAGTTTCCCGAAGCCTTCTTAACGCTACGTCGTTCGTTAGTTCTATCTTTTAACACAGAACTTAAGAACGACGTAGCGTTAAGAACGCTTCGGGAAACTCACCCCAGAGCTGTTCAAACTATGGTCCCCAATGTCCGAGGACTGCTGGTTTTCCAGCCTTCCTTTACCCGTGAGCCTTGTGTGAAGCCTCTGTGGCCAATCAGAATCAGTAATTAATAAACTAAGTACTGTACTAAAACTGAAAACAAGGCCTGGATTCAAAATCGTCGCCCAGATTTGATGAGTCCTAATATTATCTCTTTCTATTAATCAGCTATAGCTCTGACTGGGTATGAGAGTGCTATTAATTAACATATATAAAATACTCAGATTCTTGGACATTGTTGCAGAATGAAATGTAGCTTTTTTTTCCTTTTTTTTCAAGATACACGACCAAACTCCTGGGTGGTCCCGGAAAACCCACCTAAAAAGTAGTTGATTGAACTAGTTGTTGCACTTACTGAACTCGCTTTTTAGCGTTGAGCTGTACAATGTATTGATCACTGGTGATTTAGAGGCTGCTTGAAATATTAAGTTTAGAATAATAGTTCCATCCTGGACACCTCTTGTGTAAGAAGTCATGTTTCATCACACTGCCTGTCCCACTGTTGTTTGGTTGTGCCAGCTTTGCCTACATGGTGCCTGGTGGATATGCAGTCCGTCACACTGGAGGACCCGTGCAGCCTGCGTGTTGCAGCTGCGTGGGTGTGGACTGTGGTGAAGGCACGGGATATGATGCAGTTTGAGAAGGTCCTGGAGCTCCTGGACGTCTTCCACACATTGCTGCCACAGCTGGTCACGCCCATCAAACACATGAAAGTCATGTTTGGTCTTAAGACTGTGGTATGAGGCAGGGGCATCGTCGGACCTGGGGCGGGATACAAGTGGGGATTTGTAATTGTCTAGGTGATCCTGTTAAAGCAGCCCCTCATATCTTCACACCCCTATGCCTGAAATTTTGGCTGCAAATAAATGTTTTGGGTTTTTTCAGAAAATCAATCAAAATTAAGTACAAGTGGGAGTGAGTCATAGAACAAGTGCTTAATGTTGTTGGTGTGTGAAATTGCTCTGAGGCTCCACCTTAGTTGTAATATAGTTTCTTATAAACTGATATCCTCTCAGCGCTATTACTGAATTATTCTCATAGTGTTTTCTTAAATCTTAAGGGGACAGTCGCAGTCTGATGAGGACGATGACATTGGGGCATCATCTCCACACAGCAACATGCTTTCTTTGTTGACATCAGCAGGGTGAGCTTGCTGTCAACCATGGGGACACATTAGGGAGGCGCCTGCATGCGTCTGCTTGTCTGGAGAGGTTGTCAGGTGGCTTGTATGGACTGAGAACTGAGTTACCTGGTCGTCCAGGGTACCATGGCAAGTCCTCCACAGGTCCGATGTTTGAAAACTCGGTTTTAGAAGACGACTAAAAAAGATGACTCGAGCAAAGTTAGTTTTAAAAAGGAGTGTCTGTACTTGGCGCTCTATAGAGTCAATTAGGATATTAATGCTGAGTGAATTTTTGTTTCTGTGTTTGATCCTGGTTCAGATTATCATGTGGATGTTTCGGGAGAACCAAAGCGTATTCCGTACTATTTTCAAGATCATTCGCTTCTTCCCCGACAAGTTCCCCCAGTACCATGGTTGTGTAAGTATCTAAGTGTGTCCTCTGGTTGTATGTAGTGCTTATTTCCACCAGGGGTGGTGTGACCAAACTGAACAGGCCAAGGAGTGTATCTGAGATAAGAAGTTTGTCATTTTTCTGTGGTTATTCATTGTGAATCAAAAGACTCTTTCTCTTCCATGCCACCTGCAGTGTTGCTCACGTTGTCACTGTCCTCTTGCAGAGCCGGAGTATGGAGACTCTGATGAGGAAAACTCACCAAGACTTTAAGGCATTTGCACAGCTGCTGGCCACCCAGAGGGAGGTGCGAGAGGCATACCTCAAGGTGAGCCCCCCCCCCCCCCCCAACATAACATGTTCTTTAGGGGCATGTGTGTACATACTAGGTCCTTAGCCAGAAATTTATTTCATGGGGTTTCTGGCAACCCTGCCAATAGTCTCTCCTCAGGCACATTTTTGGGGGGTTGTTAAACCGGTCATTTTACTACCTGTCGACGTGCCTGGCACAAACATATTCAGGATTCTTTATTATCATTTCACCATGCAAAGATAAGTTTAAAAAAAATAATCTAGAAAAAGCATTCACTCATCACATCTCTGACAAAACAATATGTTCAACAAACAAATATTTAGAATGAATCGACCAGGCGTCTCCAACTCCGGTCCTGGAGAGCTACTATCCAGTAGGTTTTCTATCCTACTTGGCATCCTGGTATTTACCTGAGAACTAGTGTGGCTCATCAGAAGCCGGGTAGGAAAGAAAACCTACCGGATAGTAGCTCGTGAAAATTTGTGCAGATGTACAGTACTGTGCAAAAGTCTTAGGCAGTCCAAAGAAATGTTTAAAGCTGTTTATCTGGGTAGCAAGTGTACTTTGGCTTAGAACAAACATTTAACATTAGAATATGTGCAAATTAAGAGTAACACAATAAAAACTAGTAATAATTTCTTCTGTTTTCTAAAAAGTTACTGATATCTAGTTGGATAGCTAGATGAACACCACTTCAGTTCCCAAACTTCTCCTCAGGGGCACCTCAGCCGTTCCATGGTTTTGTTAAATTTCACCAACACCTCAATTAAATAATTAAATAAATTGGTTTAAAAAGTCAGTGACAGATTGACTAGTTGCATGGGGTGTGCTAGTGGCCAGGTCAAAAAATACATGGCTGCACTGGATGGTCGCTGCAAATACTGGGGTGATTTTAGCAGAGGTTCTGAAATGGCTAAGCTGACACTTTGACAGGCATAATATCATAGTTTTACACCAACACGAGGATAATCTAAACACAATTTTCTTTGCCTGCCTAAGACTTGCACAGTACTGTATAAATCTGAGAGGGAGAGTTAGTTATTGCAGTAGACCATTGTTAGGAATTTGAAATTGAAGGCTAATGGAAATTCCGTGAGGGGCAGACAGGTCTTATATTAGTCTTTGATGACTCTGCCTGTTTCCTCATCGGGCATCGACTGGAGGGTCTCATCGATCTTCTATGGAACACCCATGAAATGCCACTCTCTAAACTGCACTGTCATATGTAAACCTCATTGGCTTCTGTTTTCTGCTAGTGAAACTTTAGCCGCTTGGTGATGGTTTTTTCCTTTTTAGCCTTTTTGTTCACCTTGCACAACATAATATGGTAACATCCCAGTACATGTTCTACCACGTGGCTCTGTGGATTCCCTCTGCAAGTTTCACTGTCATCCATGGGGACACATTAGCTGTAAGCTACTCTGGGAAAACACACCCACTGAAGGAGCAGACGTGTGTAAATTCTCTAATGACCAAAGACCCACGGGATTGTCTGATTGGTCTTATGTAACCTTTTAGTTCCTCTACTGTTAGGGTGCTGTTTGAAATGCAGGCATGTGTTTCTGCAGGAGCATGTGGAGGAGCAGTATGGGGAGAGGTATGCTCAGAAGCTGGATGAGAGGCTGTTTCATTACCTCCAGGAGCTGGAGGCCAAGCTGCCACCCACCACAAACATAGAGCGGGTAAGTGTCACAGGGTTCAGTGGCAGCAAGCTTTATAGCAGTGTTTCCCCCCCCGATCCTCAGAGACCCCTAGACAGTCCAAGGTCTTGCTCCCTCCCAGACAATTCACTACCAGGAGCTGGGAGGGAGCAAAAATATGGACTGCCTAGGGGTCCCCCAGGGCGGTGGCACCAGCACAGCAGGAGAACGTTTGGCTGTTAAGTGGCCGCCCTGTGTCAGACTCCAGGCTGTCTTATGACTAGCAGTCAGACAGTTCTGCTGAATGGGTGCCCACAACTGCTTGATTTAGACTGTTAGTTTCTAATAAAAGCATCCGTGGGAACAGACACGTGTGTGGTGTGGGTCTCTGGCCCAACAGTGTGACAGTTTAACTGCACAGTGGCTTTTCTGTGCTCAGGTGCTACAACAGGAGTGTCCGCTGGTGGAAGGAGAGGCGTTACTGAAAAACCTGTTAAGTTGCAGTTCTGCTTTAGTGCCAGAAGTCTTGGGGAGGCTGCAGCTGTGTGGTAAGAAAGTTTATGATCATTTTTTTTATAACTGGGGTGAGTGGAAAAATAAGAAAGAATGGGGTGGAGTTTGAGAATGCAGCTGCTTGGTAACAAGGTTGAGTTTTGAATGAGTTGGGGCAGGTGGATACAGTGGGTGGGATTTGAAGAGTAATGATTAGGGCTGACTATTGCACCACCCCCCCCCCCAGCTATATCTATTTCCAGTGGCTCCAATGAGACCAACCACCAGTGCAGCATGCCCAGGATATACACTGAAGTGGACCAAAGCCCTAATCCACCCATTGCCTTGGGGGGACAATTCCTGCCTTGCATCCCCACATCACAACAGACCAACAATGGCACAGGCTTCGGAATGATGCAGGGAGGGGGTGGGGCTGGGTGTTGCCCCCCATCTCCCCTGCAAGAACGGTATTCTCAGCCAGGGCAGAGAATGAGCCATTTTGTTGTGGCAGCATGGGAGGAGTGCCCCCTACAGCTGTGTTCAAAGCACTGCAGATGGGTGAGGAATATCTTACAGGGATGCTCAGAGGAAGGGCGGAGTTATGGTGGGGGCATTGTGGAGGAGGGCAAGAGTCAAGGAGGCATAGAGGAGAGCTCAGAGGAAGGGCGGAGTCATGGTGGGGGCGTCGCGGAGGTGAGCTCAGAGGAAGGGCGGAGTCATGGTGGGGGCGTCGTGGAGGAGAGCTCAGAGGAAGGGCGGAGTCATGGTGGGGGCGTCGTGGAGGAGAGCTCAGAGGAAGGGCGGAGTCATGGTGGGGGTGCCGCGGAGGAGGGCAGGAGTCATAGTAGGGGTGTCGCAGAGGAGAGCTCAGAGGGCAGGAGTTATGGTGGGGGCGTTGCGGAGGAGGGCAGGAGTCATAGTAGGGGTGTCGCAGAGGAGAGCTCAGAGGGCAGGAGTTATGGTGGGGGCGTTGCGGAGGAGGGCAGGAGTCATAGTGGGGGGGTCGGGGTGGGGAGCTCA